CCCTCCATTTCTGATGTCTTGATTTCACTAGTGGTCTTCAAAAGCACAAAGGAGGAAAGAGAATAAAAAGCACCATCCTTTCAGCATCATCCAAAGCCCAGCAGCATGCCATATCTCATCCCAAGACAAGCTTTGGCATAAGCTAGTAGCAAATACTTTGTCAGCCCCTCACAGTTTCACTGCCTTGGCAAAACAGTGTCCGCAGGTGTCCAAGACCTTCTCACTTTGCATCTTGTTTGGCAGGATCAGAGGAAACCCACTTGGTTTTACAGTACCAACTAGACCAATGAGAGACAGTTATGGTACCCAACTGGACAAAATAAGCTCCTCTTATCTCCAGAGGAGCCAACAATAAAAGACATAAACCTTAAAAAGCAATATACACTGAGCTTTTCCACTCATGGTAAAACTAATTTCATCTACACCAATACCAGACACTACTGCAAACCAACATTATTTCCAGAAGGTCAACACATCAGTTATCTTGTGGGACAATTCTGCAAAATTTTAAACAGATGAACCAAAAATAACTTACATCAGATGTACTCGCTTGTTACTGGGGTACCCTCAGCAGTTTTACCAAAATCTACTTGTTTTTTTACCGACGTCCACGCCACAATTTTAATGATGCCAATCCTAGCTCTGCCAGCCAGGTGCTGTACAGTACTTTTATCAGCACACACAATAGTCTCTTCCTGACAGATCAGAAGACAAAAAGGGATTTGCAGCAGAAATATGGAAGACATTGCGTATCTGGGACTTTGGCAAGGTGTGGACAAGTTTCATTTTGTTCATCAGCCCATCGCTGTAAGTGCTGCTCTACAGAGTAATGCTGAGCTGTAAAACAGGGCTGGGCCGCACACTATTGCAGAAACCAAACTTCTATGGGATTACATGAGATGCTTCAAAACACCACTGCAAAGGGGTTAAGTTCACCTAATCCAGCCCAGAGACAGTAACATTTACCTGCCACAGACATTGTGCAGCACTTTCCATTCATAAAGATCCTCCAGCTGTGGGTTATGGGATTTCTCTGTTCACTGCTGTAATACAGCCACTTCTGGGACTGAAATGCAGCACCAGCGACCTCAGTGAGCCAGGACCTGAACTTTGTTTCAACCCACATCTGCTAAACCAGAATGACTACTTCAGCCCAGAGCCAGCTGAACTGCTTTTCCACCAGCCCACCACAGCAAACAGCAGGTTGGAAAAGCCACCCCATGGGGAGGTACCATCCCCATGGTCCTGGGACATGGTGGTCAACTGGATTAAGTGAGCTGCACACTGTTTTGGTTAAACATGTCAAAGCCTTGCCAGGCTTTGGTTGTGGGTGGGAGGGAGACCATATTTGAGCCTGATTGCTCACTCTGATGGACGGAGCAAGCCCCAGGGAGATAGGTGCTGTCCTCTGAACCCAGCGATGAGTTGTGCATGGAGCAGAAATTCCTTGGCATGAGCATCTTCCAGGGACAATCTCAGATAAAAGCCCACAAAGCACCCAAATAGCCCACAGCCATGGTCAATGGGTACAATATGCAACAGAAACGTGTAACAGCCAGGTAAACCCTCAAGCAAGCAAAGCATTGGCTTGCCAAGCCCTCAAGTTATTCTCAAGCTCTTACCCCAGCACAGGCTACCAGGGGTCAGCCTTGGGATCAACAGGCTGCTGCCAGCAGAGATGGGCTCACACTTCCAGTTTCCACACAAGAACTGATGGGATCCTGCACAAAAAGGTGACTCCCACGATAGACCACAGGCAGTGAACAGGCAGCTCCTGCGGTGCATCACTGCAGAGCGGAGGCAGGAGCAGGGCCATCACATCACCAGGGCATTTTGGGAAGGCTCCCTGGGTTTTCGGCAGAAGATGCTTTGCTTTCTGGGAAAGAGACTTTCCCAAACTTCCTCCTTTCTCTATTCCTACACCTAACCCATTAGACTGTGCTAGGACTTGGTTTCTAATGTGTTTTAAAAAAAGCACATCAAAAGAAACAGTTAATCCCTCTAAAGATGAGATGCATTCACATGTCTTCTGACTTCCTTCCAGTGCTGCTGTAGCCACAGGAACACTGCTTACTACAGCCTGCAAGCAGAGAGACAATGTTTATCCTGCACCATGGGCTATTTCTTTTTTCTCTGCCTCTCTCACTGCAAAAAGCCCTTTGCTGTCTCACAACAGCATCCTCTCAGTCACAGCTTGAAGCCGGCCGCCACTTCCCAACCCCGGCGCGAGAGCCTGTCCTGACATTTGTAAACTTCTGTTTTGAACAACAGCTCAGCACAAAACTTAACTTGTATAACCTAGGCTCCAGGCTTGGCCCCTTTTCAAACCTACCCAGCACTCCCCCAGCCATACAGAGAGATCCACACAGCCCCTGAACTAATTGAATTTTAATGAGAGGAAGTCGTTTTTCCACTGGAAGAATGTTGTGCTAGAGAAATATTTTGAAACTCCTCTAACCTTTCCTGCCAGGCTTTTTCTGCAGCAGAGTACGAGCGAGGAAGTCCCCATCTGGGCACTCGATTGACAAATAGAGCAGAGCTGCTCCGCTTGCAATCCCAGCTAAACCTGGAGCTTAAATAACTACAACTTTCAAAATAAAAAGTATTTGGGTTTTATTTGATTTCAGTCCCGACAAGGAGGATATGAATTCCCACTACGTACAGCTCTTGCTGATTCGTGCTGAGACACAGCCCATCTAAGCCCTCCCCAACACTGCCTTCCATCCCACTCCCAGCTAACTGGGTTATTTTAAATTTCCAGCAAAAGCCACAAACGTGTAAGAGCCAGGCAACTCCACGGGTGCAGAAAACACTGGGGAACATCTTGTTAGCTGAGGTTTGCAGAGCAGTTGCCTACAGAACAGCAGCAACTTCATCTCATCGTTCTGCATTCAGTCGTGAAATTATCCGCTTTCCAGGAATATATAACTTTAAGAGTTTACACCCATTTCCCATTCTTCTGAGCCACATTTTCCCCTATACAGTTTCTGCTTAGGCTTGCAGAAAGAAAAAAGGAGGGGCCAAAGGAAATTAAGTTGCTGAGATATGAAGGAAATTAGGTTATAGTCCACTGCCTTCATGAAACCTATTAATTACATTCAGTTTAAAGCTGCTGGTATCTTGATTAGTGTATGTGTGGATACACTGAAAACCCTCTTTGTCTGATAAGGATGACAAAAGAAAAAAAAAGGACAAATACTAGAACTAGAGTGTTTCTTATATATGTTAAGGCACAGGAAAAAAAAACCTTGCTAATTGTCTGGTTCTCAGTAAATGCCTGCAATGATCTTGTAGCTGCGACTTGTACCCAGAACAGGCAACAGGCTCCAGTGGAGGGGAACACTTGCTCCGTTTTACCCCACCTCCCACGATCGAGGAGGTTTCACAAGCCCTTTGAGCTTGTACCCCTAGATAAGTCCTTTTCAGCAAGGGAGCTGTGGCCAGCCCCATGGGAAGGGCTAACAGTGGAGCTGGGAGAGCATTGCCACCCATAAGTGTGTGTTCCCTTGCCTGGCAGAGGCATCAGCAGTCCTAAATCCAGGTGAGCACTAAAAGCCACCTGGGAACATCTCGAGCTTCAGGGGCAGTTATGAAAACTGTGTTACTTTGCCAAATGAAGTAGTCTTATCCAGTCTGGATGTGATACCAAGTTCTTTAAGTGCATCTACTAGATCCCTGGGACCAGCGCCTCCCCAGAAAAGCTCACCACTTTATATAGCAACTCCATTTAAAATACAGCATCCAGTGCAACTGCTGAAATTTTTGGCAGAACGTCCAACACTTGCAAAAGACACTCCAGTGCCCATTAAACCCAGCTTTTACTTTCCATTTTAATTGTTATACTTCCCAGGGAATGTCTATTAATTTAATACAATTTAGAGATTCGGCTCTAACTCTGTAACTGGGATTTTGGCAGCAACGTTCGGTCCATGCATTCTTGCTCTGTTTACAGCAGACCAGCTCCCAGATGTTGGTAATGTTAAACAGACTGGAACTTTCCTTCCAAGTGACAGCAAAATGCAGACAAGAGCTGGCTTCGCTACTGCTCTAATTATCCACCAATAGATGTTCCCCATCCCTTTGTTGGGTTGGGAAGGCCCATGAGATATAGCTCTTTCTCCACATAAATGCAATAAAAGTAAGGAGAGAGATCAATAGGTCTTAGTTTACACTCCATTGCACTGGCACCGATTTCAGGGAAGCAATTCTAGCTTGCAAGAAAGATCCAGGACAAGATTCTCATACTCAGAAGTGCAGCAGACCACAGAAGTTGAGATTGCTAGTGAAATGCATACATTAAACTAGCTGCTGAACTATGGGAAGAACTTCTACCATATGTACCTTGTCTATAAATAATCCTCTATCTCTTTGCTTAAATCAGAAGAGCTCATGAGAACATTCCACCCATCACGATTTTGGTTTGCTTTTCAAAAGCAGTCGCTGTGTGGGAGGCGACAGGGCTGCCAAACAAGCTGTCGAGGAGAGTCCCCTTATGTCATGGCGCAAAAAACCAAAAATCAATGGCCAACACATGGGAAAAGAGCAAATTCCTATAACTCCAGAGTGAACTGTGACAGGCAAGGGAGCTGCTTTCCTCAGCCTTGGTTTACTGCCCCTGCAATTTTATATAAATCATAACACAAGGATGAATGAAAACCCTGTGAGCCCTTCCCATGCTAAATGAGCCGAGAGCACAAGAGCTACAGACCTACAAAATCCCAGTGCAGGGGCTGGTCTAGAACCCCAGCAAGGCCATGAAACCAGAGAACCAGAGCAGCTCACTCCAACAAGCCATCTGGCCCACTGTTCTCATCATTACTACAGAAAGTATTTACCTAGTTGAAACAAAAACTTAAAAAACTTAAATTACATACGACAGTGTTCTATTATGCAAAAATCCAACACAAGTTTCGAAAATGAGCTGTAAATACCTCATCAACCAGAACCCAGTTCATCATCTCTGTGGAACATCTCCAGAGCTGTTCATTGTCATGACTTACCTCAAAGACTTCCTCATCCAATATCCTTGTTCCAAATACAATGATGCCATTGACATCAATGATGGGATGGTCACTTCGGTCCAAAAACTTGGTTATCTTCTTTTTACAGTCCAAAATCAAGGTGACATTTTTCTTCTGCACACTGATAGCTACTCTGTGCCACCTACAAGAACACAGTCCACAAATGTGTTAACCAGAGCCTTGGGCTTTCAAGAACAAGCCAATTATTGTATAACAATGAAACTTTCATAAAATTATGTTCTGCAAACCTCCAAGCCAGCCATCATCTGCAAACGCATGAAAATTATCCTTAGGCAGACCCTAAAGATTTTATTTTAAATAGAAAGGCTGTATTGACAGATGATGTCATTCACTTCTCATCCCTCCAAAACATGTAGGAGTACGCCAGTTCTGGCTTCAACAAAAGGCAGAGGAAAAAACCACACTGATAACTCCCTGGCTATCCCCCTTTTTCACCCTTACGTCCTGCAAAAGACTCAGTGTGGATTTTGCAAGACAAACTGATTTCTTAAGGCCCTTTGCAGCAAGAGTCAACAGTGTTCCTATCCCCATAAGTGTGAGACAATTTGCACTGACTGGTATGTGATTCACGCTTTTTATATATGCAATATTTATTCACCAAAGGGCAAAGTTCAAGAATGGGACACTTGGCAGTGGTCAAAGGCGTGTATATACATTTATATATACGTGACTCCTATTTTACACAATGTTCAACATGCTGGTATTGATATAAACAATGTACTGTTTTTTCCTTTGTGCACAAAGTTTCACTTACTTGCCATCTGCTAGGTTAATGCCTCTAAAGAGAGGATAGTCTTCTGGGCCTGGCTTTCCTGTATGGTCTTCATACAGGAATACAGGAGATCTACCCATCTCCACACCAATTTGCTGGATCCCTTGCTCATTGTAAATTGAGATCAAGAAGGACTGACCTCCTTTCTTCGCTTTTACAGTGGTTAGAATGGAGAAGTCCTCTGGGAATGGGGAAGCTGGAGTGGAAAAGCAAAGAGGTTAGTTAGGTTTCCTTGAAAATTAATCCCTACAGAAACAGTCCTGTTGTCTAATGACCCATGGGGAGATGACTGGTTTATCCCTCCAGATGCATGCACACCAACCCTAACAATTTATACCGGGCAGCATCTTAGTTGCCCGGTGAAGATCTGGCTTTTCCCCCAAAGCCTGCTCTGATACAGGGTTGGGATGAGCAGCAACCCAAAGTAGACTGCATCAGCAAAGCCAGTTAGAGCAGTGTCCCCCAAGGGCTACCTGCTCTAACAGCACATTAAAACTCCGGTGCAGAACTGAGCATCTCTGAGGATCATTTGTTTATGAACAGAAAGCCTTTTTCCAGCCCTTATTGCAGTCTGTCACAGAGCCAAAAGCCACCCCACATTTGAATTTGCAAGCAAAGGATGGCAAGGGGCCTGCTGTTTTGGGAAGAGACTGTAGTGCTGGGGAAACAGAGGTTTTAAAAAAGCTGTTGGTTTACATCTGTATTATTTGCACCTAACCCTTCCTTAGTGTGCCCTAGAGCTTTTTAGGAGACAAGGCAAAAACTTACATATATCATGAGGTCTTCAAATTAACTTAAGATATCAGAGGGACAGAGGAAATTAAACATCCCCTGCCAGTTAGGCACACAAAATACTGAAGGGTTTTATTTAAGGGAGCAGGGAAGTTGCATCAGGTTTTGTCTATTCCAGACAAGAACAGAGCATTCTGTGGCTTTGGCTTTCAGGGTTGGTGCAGACACCAAAAAATCTGAACACAGAAATAAATCTGGCAATCAGTAGGAGATTCTAATTTGTCTGCATATTAAAAAGTATCTAACAAATTTCCTAGCTTTTTCTACACTCAGGAAAGCAACACTGTCTGATCTCAAGTGATTCCTGTCTGTATTTCTGCAAGGTTTGGAGGATTAAAGCCATTAAAGTACAGAGCAGGTACAGTCAGTAACAGAAGCAGTACTGTGCGCAGGGGAAGGGTCAATCCCTTCAATGCCAGATCAATACATTTTAAGTTTCAAGCCAATATGGGCATCAAGTCACCCCCTGTGCAGGGCACAACTCCTCCATTTGGGTTTTCTCTGCCATTCAGACTGGAAAGATGAGCCCAAACTGAAAAGCCTGGATGCACATCCCAAACAGACATCTTATGAACACCAGAAGCATTAGTAAAGGAGCTTTCTTGATCAAATTATTGGAGATGGGACCTATTGAAATAGGGAGTACCTACAGGGCATAACCTCCTCAGATGCTGCATTTCAGCAGCGTGAGACTTGCAGGGTATCTTTCCTTTAAGGTCCAGGCTTTCAAAAAACAAGGATTGCATTGTACCGCTGAGTATCTGCTTGGGAAATCTTAAACCACGGCAGGGCAGAGTAAAGTGGGGCAGCCCCACCACGGGCACTGCGGTGTGCGTGCTGGGACTATCTACGTGTGTGGCAGCCAGCGGCACGCAGGGAAGGGAACAACACAATGGATCATTTTTAAACTACAGATCCGTAGCCATATAAAACCACAAAAAATGTCAAGCTCGGTGCCCATAAGCTTCAAATAGATTTCCTTCACCCCTTTAGGCTTTTCTTAGATGGTATCCCAGGGCTGCATAAAGGATTTTGACCCAGGGAGGGGACCGGGAACATGAGAGCAGGGAATTCTTCCAACCACAGCAAAGCTAGCAAGTTCAAACGCAAAGAGCCCATGAGCTCACCCCTCTCCTCTTCTGCCTGGGAATTGCTTTAACTTTTATTAACAAACCAGTGTTTAAAACACATCTAGCTGCCTAGCACAGGGCTACACCACCAGGCAGTGGAGGAGGCAGGAGGCACGAGCAGGCTGGGCTGCATCGAAAATGAGCACTGCTGCAAACAGCTTGTGCAAACAGAGAACATCAAGTGGGACATCCGAGGGTACCTACAGAGAGACACACCGTGTTTGCACCAAGTTAATATCCCCCACGTTAGTTAAATAACATTTGGAAAGAACCATAAAGCAGTATTCTGAACAGAGGACTCACAGTCAGTAACTAAATGCCATGATTACAGCCTGATTTCCCCCCAGAACACAGACCCTGATATTTGGCAAAGGCAGGCATCTGATTATTGTGCCTCCCATAGGATGCACTGAGCTTTATCTCCCTCCTGCTGTATACAAATCCTCCTGTAGCACTGAATCAAGACCATACGCCTTCCTGGTTCCAATTACAGGCTACAGTTTTGGGCCTTTTATGTAAAATAGTTCATGTCCAAAATTTCATTATGAATCCACAATACAGTACCTTTCAACTTGGACAAGCTGCCAACTCATTAAAAAGCTGCTTTTAATTTTTTTTCATTATTATTAAAATGTCTCCATGGTGATGCGAGTTTCTCAACCCAAATAACCATAATAGATGGATTATAGCTGACGTTACTCTATTACTGCTCTGCTGTCCTGGCAAAATAACAATGCCTTCACTGTCATAGCCAGAAATGACCCAGGCTATTAAATGATGTATGAAAACACATCCACACAGACAGCAATACTAATAAATACATCAAAATAAATATATGAAGCACATAGAAATTGACCCAAATCCCCTTAAAGACAACGGAGACACCCCTCCAACAACAGCTTTGGGATTAAGCCCTTATATTCGTTCACTTCTTCAAATGAGCTCATGCTGAAATGTTGCACATCCATCTCTTCACTTAACAGCACTGCACCGGTGCTGAATTTGGCTCAGCTTTGCTGTTTTATCCCACAACCAAGTCCTTTCAAATTCACTACATGCATCCTCCTGCGAGGCAGCAAAGGGTTAAGACCCCAATTCTGCAGATGGAACCATGGAAAGAGCCAAGGAGGTCAACAGTGGGCAAAGATCCTCCACCCCACGCAGTCCCCACACGCTGATGCCATTAGCTTCACTTGAGCAGATTGCATCTGTGGTATGCCCCAATATGCAAACCAGTGGAATCAGGCCGAGTTTCTTCTTTCCCAAGCACCATGACCAGGGATTAAAGGCTTTTGTGCAATCTCATGGTCTTCAAAATAGGAACAGCTGGGATCTCTTCCTAACCCAGATCCTGCAGTTGTATCCAAACATAGCCTAAAATAAAGAGCCCTGCTGCTGATCTGGGAAGGACAGGAAAGCTTTAGCTGCTTAATAGCAAAAAATCAGCAAAAACAATGAGCTGATCCAGTTCCTGACACAAACACAAAGCAGATCTGTTGTGCGAGATGGTGTCATTTCCAGAACCGCTTTTCAAAGGAAAACAGCTCTTCAACAGTGTCACCAACTTCTGGCCTTTTTCTTCATTTGAGAAGGCTCTCAATTTTGGAATGGCTTGTTTTCTTCAGAGATGACTGTTCAAGTTGTAATAGAGATTTTTGAGCTCTTAAATATATATGCAGACACCCACAAGCAGCGTGGAGAATACAGAGTTTGCTAGAAGAATGCAAATGACATTTTGCTGGCTGCCACTGAAAACTTTGCCTTTCTTGCCTCTGCTGGAAGAGCACAGTTTTGCTGGGAAGCAGAACTTATTTAGGAAGCAAGGACAAAGAGCATCTCAGCAGATTTTCTCACTCTTGTGGGCTTGAGAAAACAGACAAGCTTTTTATATATCTCTCTTGCTTTGCTGGCTGTGGAAGCAGAATGCAAAGCCCATAAAATTACCATCCTAGAAAAGCACCAACTTCTAATTAACACAAAATATTATGTGCAGTGTACATTTGCCTAGGGTGCTCTATAGCAGAGAGGGAAAGTCATGCTACAACCCACCCGCCTGTTAACGTGAAATCACTAAAACCACATTTCTCCTGGTACATTGCACTGCAATTACTTTGTTATCTTTATCTTCTCTCTCATTCATCCGGTGGTGTGAGCTGAAGTCACATCTAGTTATGGAGATATACTGAGAAAACATCTGTTGATCTGATGGAAAACACTGGGGGTTCTTCACTTCGTTCTTCCCTTATTTCCTTAGCAAGCAGCAGAGAAGACTTTGGAAGTCTCTGGAGAAGGACAGAGCTGCCCACTGTTGTCCAGATGATGAAATGATTGAAAAGTTGCTTGATGACACCAAAGAAACACCAACCAGATCTTCTCACCCAGGGAAGAAGTAGATGCAAACCGAGCACTCGGTGAGGACAAACAAGTAATAAGGTGGGACAAAACCAAGAAAGTCTCCTACAAAGCTGAGTTCTCTCCTGTGACCACGGTTCAGTTCTGCGTGCTGTCTTGTGCTAATCTTTGTCATAAGTGGTGTCATCCAGTCTCCTTGCTACTTTAATTAGCCAGAATACTCCATCCTTGTTTTTATATCTTGGGGTCACCACCGTGTGCTGGTTTCCATAACACAAAGGCAATCAGGCAAGATTTCACAGTGGCTACAGCAACTACTGAAAAGCTCTCAAATCCACTCCAGTTGTATATTCCAAACTGCAACCATTTCCTTCAAGCACTTCTGAGCTTTAAGATACCAGTTGGACCAAAAATTTGGGTCATTTCAGATACATGAGAAGAGTATGTGAAAGCAGTCAAACACACACTGGTTAGGTTGAGCTGATCTCGCCTTGGGACGGATGGACTCAGGGGCCACTGCAGGGCCCTTGCAGCCTGACCCTGGGATGAATATTCCCCATATCCACAGACACCATCCGCTGGGACACAAAGGCACAACCTAGCAGAAAGGTGCAGTTGGGCACATGATGATATTATCTATAGTCAGAAAGGACTGTCCTGCCATGGGCAGCAATAAAGACAGATATAGGGTCCATTCTGCACTTCTGCAGACATTGAAACAGGGCTTTAGGCAAAACTGAGCAGCTCCTTCGCCAAGGGTTGACCATGCGATGGAGGGCTACCAGCCCACAGCCCAGGCACAGCTGCTCTCATCTTCGCATCAGGCTCTCAGTTCATATGCAAGACAGGGTATGCTCCTGCTCACCATGGTTTAAATATAATTCACCTGCTTATTGTCACAGTAGGATAATAATGAAGTCTGAAAATAACCTTAGTGATAACACATGCAATGAAGGAAATACAGGACTGGAGGATGCAAGTGCATCAGCAGTCCAGCCTCGGAGTCCTCCTTTAGGCCACTGACAGGCTGGGTCTGACCGACACAGCATGTTAATTAAAAAGCATTGGTAGTGGCATGCCACATTACCTCTGATTTAGCTAATGCATTTTGTATCATTAATTCTCTCACAAACACCAAAGGAGAATGTGTGTGTGTCTGTTTTGCTTAAGTTATTTACTGCCTCACAGACAAGCTACATGCAGTGTCTTTCTGCCTCATTGCTAAACCTCAAAGGCACTTTTCTCACCAAACCTAGAAAGTCCTGCCATGCCTACTCCCAGCATCCCTGCACTCCCCCGTGTAAAACGGGGATACAGCAGTGCTCCTGTATGGCTTTGGAAGGAAGACTTCTGATGGTGACTAGTGTTCAAGACTGAAGCTCTCCGGCAGCGAGCAGTCTGGGTCCATAATGCGTCCAGTCTTTTTACAAGCACATTTTACTCTACAGTAGAGATTGTCCCTTGGCCTGAAAAATTAAAACACCCCAGTACATCCTCAGTGACAAATAAAATGGTCAGAAGCCCACATGCTCTTCAAGGGCTTTGTGTACTCCTGCATCTTAGTGGCTTTCTCTAATGAACCTCTGATTTCTTCAAACAACTTCTCTTGGGACATCTGTTCTTGTGGGGCAGTCTATTATTTTTATATGGTGATTATTTGTGTTATGAGAGACACCACAGCCACAGAATAAGACCCTACTGTGCTTGGCACTCCACAAACGCAGAACAAAACACGGTCTGTGTTCCTTTGCATCTTCCAAGTCTCTCTCCCCAGCTGGATGTCACCGTGCGATAATGAGACAGCAGAAACTTTCTAATATAGGAGGGAACAGATGTAGGCATTGGCCACATCTTCTACAGCAAAACCCGCCACCATGTGCAAATGCAATGATAAAAGAACAACTTACTGCAACGTTATTTGATGGTTGAATGTTTGCAGCCCCCTGAAACAGCAGAATCGCTCCCTGCCAAGGGAGCATGCAAGCAGACTTGGAAAATGAAGGAATTACGCAGTGCCCTACACGTGCCTGCAGAATCCAAGAAAAGGATCAGATGTTTCCATATGACAAATAAAAAGCTGCAGACTCACCAGGATACAGCTGCTTTGTTGGTGCACTAAGCTGAGCATCTTTTGTTACTCTATAAGCAACATCTGCTTCTTTTGAAGATCTTCTGCTTGTGCAAAACCCTGTTGTTTTTGTTATACCATCAGGTAAATTATGAAAATCTAATACCTTCAAGAGGTCTGCAGGTTCAGCTGTAAAAAGAAAAGGAGAAAACAAGAATTAGCAGGCAATAAGACTAGCACTTGCTCAGATCCAAGTCATTATTAGCCAGCCTCGCACAAATCATTCATCACAATTTTAAAAACAGATGAAATATGTTTTCAATACATCTGCAAATACAATGTTAATACCAGCTTCAAAGCTAGGATACTGTACTGCTGGTCAGAGACACTAATTCAATACAGAGAGGAACAGCTGATCAGCTGTCTGCACAAGGAGAGAAGGGAGAATATACTGTCTTATTAGCTATAGTAGTTATATTTTCTGGATGTCTTCACCCAATCTCCATCATTCAAGCACATCCTGAAGATTAAACATTAGACAGGAAATTCACGATCTGAGAGAAAGGCTTTAAATCAATAAGTTGCCATCATGCTGATGCAAACATTTCCATTCTTTTTTCTTAGGCTGGTTGATCCAAAAAGTTGTTTTGAAGCAAATACCTGAGCAAGCTTCCCCAAAGGATTACACACACCATGCAAAACAACCACATGTAAATTCACACTAGCTGGGATAACAGGTAAATCCACAGCCACGCCTTGGGGTATAAACAAGTTATAGCAGAGCAGCATCCCAGCACGGTGCTCACAGGCTGTTCACGCTGCCTGCGGGGCTCGCCCAGACCCTGGGAGGGTTTGTGCACAGCATCTAACCCTGCCTGGGGTGAAGGCAGGTGACACGGGGCAGGGATGCAGCACAACTCCACTGCAGGAAGCCAAGGGCCCCCCTGTAATTCAGCCCAAGCAAGTCCCATCAACTAATTCCCCTTCTTTCCCTGCCATGACACACTGGGATTTCTGCACAACCACCAGTGCATACAAGGGTGCAGCTGGACTGGCCAACAAAACACACTTCACAGAAGAGAGAAAATCCAGTGACTCCCCAGCTTGGGAAAAAGCTTGTTCTGGTTTCTGTGGCCTCATCACGTAGTCTGTCCCTTCAGCCGGGAATGCGGACTATGGAGATGGCACCTCCATCCTGGCCAGGAGCAGGTTGCAGCAGGGCACAGCACAGCCACCACTGCCCCATCCATCATCCCTGTCCTCCTCCTCTGGACAGTGCAGCACCTGGGGATGCCTCAAAGCAAGCTGCACAGGCATTTTGACTAATGACATGAAGCAAAAGGCTCCCTTCCTTAACAGCACTCCTTGACCACATCCCATTAGGCTCGTATCCTGATGGAGGCTCCCACTGCTGCAGATATTAAACTAGTTAATGGAGAGCACTTGTCTCACACCCAGCACTCCCCACACCAGCAGAGTTGGGGCTGGTTCACCTCCAGATGCTCAGGTCTTTAGAACACTGATTAAGTAATGCAAGTGATATCTCTCATTAACTTCCTAATCTGGTCTTGCTCATGTCAGGAGAGATGGTGTCTCCAAAAGTGGAATAACCAGATCTGACTTTAAATGCTTAAAAAAAATTATTTTGAATTTTGACCTGATACTTGGAGCAAAGTGCTGTCAGAAAGATGAACCACCCAACTCAGCAAACCCCTAGCAGTGCCCAAAGCAAATGTCTGCACAACAGCTTCATTTAGCCTTGCCTGGACAATATATCACAGCTGTATTCTTTTGCCACTTGATCCATTATTTTCCCCGAAGAGTGGTATTATTCAGATCCTCAAAGACAGCCACACATTAGATAGTCTGATGTTCATAATGATACCCAAGACAAACCCCCTGGGCTGGCTGCCCCAGCTTCCATCAGGATCTCAGGACATCTCACCACACTGCACGGCCAAGGGTGCAAAGCTTATTACCAGCTCACAGAATGACCACAAAGAGCCCAACTGCATTCAGGAAGGTGCACAGCATTGCTGCTACTGCAAAAAAAGGACAGATCTCCCAAAGGGCAGGAAAATAATACAAGAAAAAATTTTGCAAGTGAAAAAAACCAAAAATTGGCCTCATGTTGGGATCAAGCATGTTATTAGAAAGACCAGAGAGGAAAGAGAGGGGGAGGATTTGCAAGGGATATGCCACATGCAACTGGCTGCATCTGTGGGGAAGAGCTACAGCATGCACATCAGCACTGAACACAAACAACCCAGCAATAGAAAGAAATAGCACGAACAGATCTTTTACAATATAAAAAGTTTTGGTTACCAAGAAGATCGGCCTAATATTTGCATGGAAAAATCATGTATGTTGTTAGACATTTTTTAAAAGCTTCCACAATCCTGAGAAGTTGGGTCTTCAATGAGAGATTACAAACATATGGCAAATCCAAGTCAACACTGCAGATAATAAACCAGCTGAGAGAGTCTGGCCCAAGCAGCATACAGCTGTAATGTTTCCTCATCTCTCTTACTCTCGTTAGACAGTATATGGATGACACACATTTGTCCAAGCTGTCCTTGCCGCTCAGATCTTCCCACTGCCTTTAACCATGTTTTATTTCACACACAAATATCTGCATACATACAGCCCAAGCTGTGTTTAAGCAACTAAAATTACAATAAAACTCCAGTTCTGCTTCCAGTTACCTCCCTGTGCTCCAAGAGATTCAAATCAGCCAGTTCCTAAGCTGCCTCCAACATTTATTTAGGGAGGAGAGGGGAAAAAGGCAAAGGCAAGGGGGAGGGGATGTGAATTCCAGACTCCTGACATCAGCCCAGTCCCCGCGCCGGGTGTGGGGGGATTTGAGCCTTACTCACAGCGCTGCACATAAGCCATCCCGCGGAGAGTGGCCACAGCAGGGCCGAGGTGTTTGCAGGAATAGAAACATCTGCAGAAGAATCTATTGTCCCAAAGGCCAGCTGCTGTTGTGACAAAAAACTGTGTGGACATCATCTCCTTCGGCAAGGGAGCCCCAGCACACACTAGAGCCAGTCATGGCCGTCTCATAGGCAAGAAGCATATGGTGCTGGACAACTTAAACGCTGCTCGTTCTCATGATCTTATAGCCAAAATTGTGCAGCATATTGAGAGGAAAGAAGCACGACATGAAAACAGAAGATTTCACCAGCTCTGTATATTAACAGAATGATGCTGCTTGCAAGCCACACGGCAACTGCTTGCCAAAAGCTCCTGCAGCGGTTATAGCAAGGCGACAGGCACTCGACAGAGCTGGACCTCCTCCAGAAGCAACCGGCCATGAGCAGGTAGCAGGCTCAGCGCTCCAGCCCCTGCTCGGAGCCCTCTGAGCAACCCCCACCCATCATCAGTGCCCTGCTGCAGCACTTCATTTGTGAAGGATGATTCCAGCACCTGCCTGCCTCCTGCACTGCTGCGAGCCTCCAACACAACATGCAATTCATCTTCATTTAGAGGGAAGATCCTCTGTATCTCCCTAACTATGATGGATTAGGTCAAAGCGAGATACTGAAGTAAAACAACAGTCTGGGCATTGCACAAACAAACTGCAAACCACACAGGTAACCAGCAGGAGAGGAAATAACCTCTGTTCACAGATGTGCACGAGTGTCTCGCCTCTGCTTGCTCCTGGAAATCAAAGGAGAGCTAAGGAGCCAAGCGAAGCCCTACAGACCACTCATGTTGCACTTCATCACAAAGAGCATTGGTTTGCATAGGACTTACGTAGCATGAAAGCCTCCAGCTCTTTCCAGAAAGATGAGCTTCACACAGGATCGGCTTTTATTCCTGCCCAGCTAATTGGTTTATTTATTTCCCCTTGATTTTTCAGCCAAATCTAAACTCAGCAATCTCCTGTTAGGAGCTATGACGGCATCACACACAGAAGGACAGAGACCAGACTGACCAAAACCAGGCCCTACAGGGTATGTCTTACAAACTTGCACTGGGCTTGGCCTTCATCTGAGAACCGAATTAGCTGTTGCTTTATGAAGGCTTTTTTTTTCACTTGCTATTTCATGAATAAGATTACTATGCAGCATTACACACAGGATCATTCTTTCACTCGAGATGCACAGGGCTCCCTAAAGAGACCGGCAGCTCAGTCCCTGCTGCACCGGAGGAGGATGGCAACCTACCCGGTACACAAAGAGGCAAACCCCAAATAGCCAAAATTAGACCAGAGGCTGCCCCAAAAGCCTGCACCCAGCAGCGTGTAAAGCCCTTGAACAAGAGCAAAAAGGAGCGTTACTTCCCATTTTAACATAGTGGAGATGAATGACTCGCTGATGAACCAACAGTGGCAAAACAAGGAGTTAAATCCCTAGTTCCTGCTTGTCTGACCAAGGCTTTAACCACAAGATCAATTTTTCTGTGTAAATCTGATTCTTAATTATTTAATTACCTGTTAAAATCTGGAACAGAGGCAGCTAGTATTAAGTTTATAACTCTACCTCCACTCAGCAGCAGCTAATAGCCAATTTTTCTTTCTTATACATCAATATTAAAGCAAATCAAGCAACATTCATTGAAATAAGCTCCCTGGCTTTGGGCTGGGCACAGGCTGCAGCCAAAACAGGGTCAGTGTGGCCGTGCCCTGCCACCCCTCAACCACAGCCAAACCGCCTGCTCTGACTCAGGTGTGGGATGCAGGAGCAGAAATATCCCCAAGGAACTCAAAAGGAAATCATTAACATCTGAAGGTGAGTATTAGAGAGCACACTGAACACCCCTGCCTGCGGGCAAGCCCCATTCCCAACATAACTGGGTTGTTCATCCTCACCTTTCATTTCCCTGACTGTTCTTTAAATCAAATTTTAAGAAGGAAAGAGGTCTTAAGCTCTGCTGATCCTTCAGGACACATGCAATAATAAACAAAGATTTTTTTTTTTTTTAAATGCCATTACACTTGCTAGTCACAGACCAGAAAAGGGGACAACCAGCCCTTGTTCAGCAACTGCAGTGAAGGTCAGTTAAAGACTTTTCATGCACCATCTACCACAGGACCATTACGCAAAGGTTAAACAATTTGGTTTCTCCAAGCTTGATATCAAGCCCAAGACCGTCCTAATTTTATCTTCCCTGGCCAAGGTGTTTTGTTTTGCTTTCACCAGGGGAAGCCATGCTGTCCTCGCTTCACCCCTGCGAGGGCTAAC